TCTGTGGGGTTTAACCAGGAATAGTGAGAACCCACAGAGCCCTACTTTAACCAGGGCTCTGTGGGGTCTCACCAGGGCTCTGTGGGGTCTAACCAGGCTGGTGAGATCCCTCATAGCACTGGTGAGACCCCACAGAGCCCTGGTTTAACCAGGGCTCTGTGGGGTATAATCAGGCTGATGAGAGCCCTGGTGAGACCCTACAGAGACCTGGGTTATTCAGGGCTCTGTGGGGTCTCACCAGGGCTCTTTGGGGGTCTTACTGGGGCTCTGTGGGGTCTCACCAGCCTGGTTAAACCCCACAGAACCCTGGTGAGACCCCACAGGCCTGAGCGGGGCCTCATGTTTAGGTTTCGCCTAATGTCTCGCAAACTCTAGAGCCGCCTCTGTCTTACAGGCCCTTACAGGCCCTTTGATGTTGATACGACCCTCGATTAAATTGAGTGACACCCCTGGTTTAGGATATTAGTGTTTCGTGCAAAAAACTACTGGCTCTCCCATTTGCAACTTATATGCTTGGTGGAATGCTCTCTTGACCTTTGGAGCTCATATACGCTTAGACATTTTCTATTGGCCATTCCAAGGTCTAATGGCGAGATCCTTCACTACATTCAAAGACCTGTGTAGAGAAGAAGAGCCCTCTAGACATGCTATTTCACCGATCCATAAATTGCTAGCCTCGTCCTGCCTAGACTTTAGTCTGCTCCATCTAAAACAATGAGCTAAGTTAAGGTTAAAGTTAATTGCCCAACAAAAAGAGTGCATCTTCTGTACAGCTTTTGTGTTTAGTATTTTCATTGTGTGTATAGCTACAATAGTTGGGGCAGTAATTGTGATTCCAGTGAAAACCCCCCAATGTGAGGTTGTGTTCCGTGATTGGCAGACGTGTGTATGTGTGTAGAAGATAGGAAATTGTGGACACCGGCACTCCAAGGTAGAATAACGTCTCTTTATTGACGTTACATGCAACAATACACTTACTGCAATGTTTCAGGGTCACACAGGATCCCCTTCATCAGGCAGAACAAGTGTAGATTGGCTGTGTATGGGT